AGTGAAAGGGGGGTGAAACTGGAGTTAGCTATTTTACTTTCTTTTTTGAGAAAAATCGCTCCCCTTTTTCTAAGAGTGTACATCATCCGGTGTGGCCCGTCACCCCCAGGAAAGGGACACTGGGCAAATAGCCCATTTTAACCCCCCCTCTACTGTCCTGAACAAAGTCGGGAATCCATGAGTTCAGTCAGTACTTGAACATTCTACGCGGTAACCGCTCTCTCTCCCGTTCTCGAGAAGGAATCCGACAGTCGCGAAGACTCGAAAGAAACTGCTCGCTCTCGAGCGAGACGGAGACCTCAACCTGTGGAAGACATCCACGAATTCTAGGCCTAGGCTAAACGTGTGGCATTTCCGGATATTAACGAGTTCAGTCAGCGGCCCCATCAACTCTCTGCGCAGCAGCCGCTCTAACAATATACGTCTTGCGCATCCCCTCTCTCTTGTTCACGAAGATGTTCACGTCTACGATTCGGACTTTTATCGAGCGGCACTTTTATCCCGTATCGATCTCGACGATGGGCGTATCGTCGGTGAAGTCCATCTCCACCACTTTTCATGCAAGCCTATGTGTGAAATATACGCTAGAGCAGGGGTCGGGAACCTATGGCTCATGAGCCAAATTTGGCTGACGTATCAAAAAGTTTGGCTCATAAGTCAGGTCTTAAAAACATGGCTACCCCTCATTTTTCTCTTATATCATAGAATGCATATGTTTGTTGGTAACATCAGGAAGAAAAATTTTTCCCCGAAAATATTTGCCTCAGGATCACATAGCCCAATCTTTAAATGGTTCACATGGCCAAAAAGGTTCCGGACCCCTGCGCTAGAGAAACGGGATGGTTACTACGCGGCCGAAGGAGTCTTTCTGATCCACGGGTTCCTGTTCCATACTGGTGGGATCCCACTGTTTTCACCCTCGGGAGTCGCACTCCTTGTGGGAATGCCGATCAATAAAAGGACGGGGTTCCGATTGATAAAGGGGTCGAGATCCCGAGAAATATATGATCCAATGATGAAATATATGATGATGAGATCTCATACCGGCGAGGAGGTCTTTCTTCCTTTAGGGATGAAAGGGGACTCCAAGAGTAATACACGGGGACGTTTTGCACGTCCGTGCTAAAAGGTCTATGGTCCGTATTGGGTGGGTGTGCGTAGAATGCATCTCTCCCGTTGTAGTGTTATGGATGGCATGGAAAAGCCCTCTGAACCGTGCTTGGTTCGGTGGTGCAGTGGAGAAGTACAGGTATTTATTTATCAAATAGGAGACCCTGGTATCGATTCCCTGCCGCATATTGTTTTTCTTTCGTCATGCCATCTGACCTGATGATTTTTTTTTTAAAGCCAACACTAGTCCAGATTCTTCACATTACTAGGAATCATCCACACAGTCTGTATTCATGCATTTGAGTAGATGGAAGTGACGAGGCTGCCCTACCCTTACGAAAATGACTGCTTCGATTCGTGGGACAAGACCGGTTACTCCCCGGGTGAACCAAAGCTCATCGCATACAACTCCCTGGTCAGTCTTTTTGCAGGGCCAATGAGCCCTTGATGTTTGTTGCACGACCGAGGATTCTACAATATTTCCCAACAAGTAGTTAATTTCCCAAATTGTAATGGTTCTATGAAGACTTTCAGGAGACACTCACAAATATCGATTAGGCTGTACCCAGACTCACCGTCAAGGAAAAGGCAGAAACGAAATATGACGGATGTGTCGCCCGCAGTATTTTCTCTTCGTTTATATCTTTGTTTATCGTCTAAAGCGACGATTCTCAGCATTTTTCCAGGCGCAAGGCGCCTACATCAATTCCCATTTTTGAGTCAATGCGACCCATTAGTTCATGAACGGCCAAATACAATCAATTTATGTGAATCGAAAAGAAGCAAAGGAGTCAGCAGTCAGCAACTAAATGAGCACTTGGTTGATTCTAGCGTCTAGCCCTCAAGGACACGGTTGCCGGTTTTCGTAATTCGAGGAGGTTCGATGTTCTGCTTTCAAGTCGGTTCCTGATTCTGTCATTCCCGCATCATGATGAACATATTTTCGAGATGCTTTTGCAATGAGGTGCGATGAAAGCAGTCACAGCTGTCGAGTGTCAGAAAATTAAAATAGTATTATTTATCACGGTTGTCGGATCCGTCACTGAAAATCAGAGACATCATCATGGCGTCCCTTGTGTCCCATGTGTCCCGTGTGTCAGCAGATGAGAAGCCTAAAGTTACACGTCCTTATAGAAATTCGATATATTCCTATAATAGGCATAGTTGGCGCATGAGTGACAGACCTGAATATGCCCATACATAGCATTGAATGTGGCGCGGCCCGTGAAAGCGACGTGCGCCTCGTAACCTCCTCTCCGAGTATTCTTCCCAAGCCACAACTTCCATGCCAACCTATTTCTTTCTTCCAGTTTTCGTGGCTTTTCCTTTCTCACGCACAGCCGGTGTTCTTTCTCAATCTTCCGCGCTCTTTAACGTGAAATCGAACGATACTCCCCCTTCAGCCGCTGTCGTCCCCCTCCGTGACCGAATGACTGACCGCTACATTAAGGTCCAGTTCGTAGTCTTCCGGCTCCTCAATAAGTAAACTTCTTACCTTTCTCTTCGTCACACTCTCGGACGAACTGTGCCATTCGATCATCATATTCACGTGTTTGTGATTCTCACATTCGAGTTCTGTTCCGTGCATCATATGTTTTATTACTTGCGTTGAACCGCGTAATCGACGTACGAAAAGCAGACATTGGCTAGTGGACTACGAATAGAGAACCATGCACGACAGAGAAAGCGTTGGATAATGCGAATCGACCCTCTGGCATTTCCTTGTTTTTCTCCAATCGTGTACCACAATGCAAATCTCCAGTTAGACTGCTACTATATTTATGAATTCACCTTTGGCCTCTTGGTTCGATGGCATGAGACGGCTTTACGATCGCCTCGACCATGTCTTAGTTCAAGCTCCTAGGGTAGAGTTGCGCCAGCTCTAACGTAGGACCTTACGCCAATTTTTAGATTGTTAGATTTTACGTTTGGTAAGGGGGATTAGGGTGAAAGCACCTCCAGAGTTGATGGGATTAGACGACGAGACTGAAGACGGATGTGGATTTAGATGTGCAGGCGGATGTGCCTGCAGATGACGATGATGAACAAGTGCAATTGCAGACTCACCGGGATCCAAGACTATTTCACGTTCTCGAACGGGACGCTGAACGGGACGAGGCCTTGTAACGATGGAAGCTACGGTCAGCCTCTTCCCGTGTTTTAGTCCTATCCTTTGCCCCACTTTAATGCACGCCTCTAAGCCCGAGTTCGTGAATCTGCACGGGGAAGCATGAAACGAAGCAGCTGCTCATTTGAGACTCCCTCGCGTTCCCGGTCTCTAGTGCCCCTTCACAGATTTCTATATCAATTTCCAGCTATATTTGCCAAATCAAATGCACTTTGCATTCTGACATATCACATCCCACGTGAAAATATCACATAGGAATCCTATAGGTTTTTGGAAAAGGAAATTTCCTATAGGGGTACTTCATGCTTGATCATAGGGCTACTTCATGCTTGATTCGAGGACGGCATGTGGCATGGTTGCTGATTCGTGCAATTCGCGACAAAAGACTTCCTCATCTGATGCTTTTATTTTCATCTCACGTTGGGTATTTCTCCTCGCGATTTCTGCAGATTCTACAGACAACCAGTGCATCAACGACGTGTACGATGAGCTGAAGCATGGGAACATATCGTGTCCCTGCAACGCAGAATGCCAGTGAGTCCTGTTCTTTATGCAGCAGTTTCGCTCCATTCTGGGCGCAGATTCATAATTTAGTAATGAATGTTTCTGGCCTATTGACTCTGCTAAAAAAAAAAGAAAAAAGAAAAGATGATTAAGGTGATCAAAGAGGTTTATTTGTTTTGTTTTGTTTTTTTTTTTTTTTTTGGGGGGGGGGGGGGTGTTGCATTAAAGAGGTTTTTTTGTTTTGTTTTGTTTTTTTTTTTTGGGGGGGGGGGGGTTGTCGCTATGCGCCCCCAGGAAACATGCACCTATCGATTTTCCCAAAAAATTCCCACTCGAACCGATTCAATTCGTGGGCCGCACCCAATCCAACACTCGATTGCCGAACGACACTCCCAAGCTGCGGACATATTGCCAATCGCGCCGGTTCTCAGCCCCTGTAGACCTTTAACCTTTTGAATCCTTTTCGTCTCAATTCTCAATTCTCTGATGAAGACAAAAAACTTCATCACAAATATATTTTCTCGCCCACAACCCGTGGACATACATTCTCCATCGGGTACTTGAGAGTTCCATATTGATAGGGTGTGTCTCATTCGAATATTATAGGACAGAAGTCGATTAGCCTCGATGAAGGAAGATGAATATTGCAAGGGAAACAACGTCATGATAATTATAACACATTAGCAGACATATCCTGCATAATATTTCTACCCTGCCCTTCCTGCTGCTTTACTGTCGACGTTTAATCCAATATATATAGACTAGTACTTGAAGGTTTTTGGGGAACCATTGCAATACTAAAGCGTATACTTTAAAATATTTTGAAACGAGAAATAAAGATTCATGAGACATTAGTTATCTCAGAGTCCCCCCCCCCCCAAATCGCGATGAGACACTCCCATACATTATTCGTTGAATGGTCATGCTTGAAGGTTAAGGTCTGTTGCAATCAAACATCTCAGACGTATTCCTTTGTTTTATCGAAAATTTCACATTTCTCCCCCCCCTCCAAAAAAAAATGCCTGCTATATTTATCAATTGAAAGAGGGTGATCGTTCAGTTGTCAATACTGATAACGTTGCTTTTCGAATAGGATTCCCATATTCATAGCAAAACAAAGAGGATGCATGCGAAACGAATTAATTTCTCTCTCCATAGACAAACTGAATACCAAACGACGATATCGTCATCGGAATGGCCAACCGCGTCCTACATGGTGAGTTCGATCGTAATCAATCACGAGATCCTCAGAGTTCCTGCCTTGAGAGGCTTTAACCGCCTTTTCAAACTCTTCAGTCAAGCGCGATGGGTTCGATGGAATTGGGGACTCAGTTGCAAACACATGGGAATGATACGATGAAGATGGAGGTGGTCAAGTTGATCATCTACTTTTCCTCGATCGCCCAGGAAACAATCACGGAATCTCCTAGCGTGACGGTAAGTCTCTTAATCGTCCTGATGTTTTTTTTTTTTTGGAGACGAGACGAGCCGTCGAAATCCCATCCCACCCGATGGTTTTAGGACACGAGCCTGTTGAGCAACCTGGGTGGAGCCCTGAGCCTGTATTTGGGAATCTCCCTGGTCATGCTCCTAGAAGTCATCGAAATTCTTCCCCTGCTGGTCCTCGCATTCATCAACAAATGCTTTGGAATCGGTCGGAAGCCGATGGAGAATCCACCGCCTAAGAGACGGGTGCCTCGTCGCAGCGCCCGCGAGGGATATCCATCCCCCATCGCATGGGACATGAAGCGCTTTTGACATTCCCCCAAAAATTGTCCTGTGAATAGTCTACGTTCATACTCTGCGCCACCTGATTCTTCAAATCCCTTTCTCCGCAAACGTCCGTTACTTCCGTGCGTGTTCTGTTCGTGGAAAAATAATCTAGCACAAATTCTTGACTTTTAAGGGTCCTGAATATCACCTAGAGGATTTTCTTAAGTGTATTCACCTGTACTTCACGGATTTGAATCGGCTTTAATCGGCCTTCACGAGGCTTAGATCCTTTGTCGTCATTTTCTAGCTGCAACATTCGACATCTCTAAGTATGAATCTGCACACTTCGTTGCACATGTTGCACGGAAATCAAGGAATAATTGAAGTATTCCAGAAGTTGCATGATGACCCTAGCATATTCACGAAAATTACTCTATTTTAAATCCAGTATATCCCTGTGGAACCTCGTATACATGTCATTGACTAAATTTAAAATAATTTATGCTTCTGTGGGATCCCAAACAAATGTTTGTAGTCCTTATTTGTTTGCGGGCGATTCTTCAGAACTTTATTCTTCTTTTCTTGATTTTTATCTACCTGTGATGAGCATAAGTTTTTAGCAACTAGTTACGTCATTTGCTTTTTGATCTAGATTGCATGTCAATATTATGTATTAAACGCGTGATACATCCTATATAAATTTACTCACTCCCTCCTCACGTTATTATAGTTGCTATCGTTAGTATTTTTTGCAAGAGACAGTTTTCGGGCTGTTATTTCCTATCAAACGCTAAACGGAAACGGTAAAATTTCTAAGAAGTCAATGGCGCTGTCAGTTATAGAATCCTCAATCACAGACGTCAATATTCATGTTTGAAAGCGGACAATTGTGTAAGGGAAGATTGGCCATATGCGGAAAGATACCAATTCTAACAGAACGATGCTCCTTACATTTCTGCAACACCTGAATCATGAGGCTAATTCCAACTCCCCAGGACGTTACCCTGAAGTGTCAAATACATAAGTCGTTGTCTTCGCTATCTTCTATCTTCTGTCTAATCTGAGCGAAGTCATAGTTGCAACTCATGCAAGATAGAGATAAGTTTATCCGCAGCTGCACCTACCAGGGCGTCGACTGCAAAAGGTCCTGGGTCGATTATTTTCTCCTTATTCCCCTGGAAGAGCTTGATCGGCTCACGATCACATCTTCCCCATCTTCCCGTACCCTAATATGACCTATGGGAATTGCCACGTCTTCAACAGGAAGAAGAACAAACACAATGATTTAGAGGCTGGATCTAGGAAAACAGTATTCCCGGGTCCGAGGAATGGTAGATTCCTTTTGCATTCAGCGCTCCCGATGACGTAAATGTCTTAGAAACAAGAGAAGCACCTGTCCGAGAAAAAAAAAGGTCCTTACTGTATGTGGACCACATGAGGTCCTTATAGGACCTCATGTGGATGTCAGGGCATAAAAAAATAATGAAGATAATTTATCGACAATGCTTGAAGAGGAAACAACTGACAATTGAAAGGTAGGGTGGAACTCTTCCCCCGCCCTGCATGAATCATGCAGACGTTCTCTTTATTGTCAATTAACAGAGGCAGGCAGCTGAATCGCCCTGCCTAAGATGTTCCCGTTGATATGTGCTCGTCAATCGACCCGGCTGGAGGTGGAGTTACATCTGAACCAGTGGCCATCGAACTTGCTGTTATAGCAGGGTGGCGTCCGGGTCGTCATCCATCGACCCGACAACTTCCCTTCCCCCGAGGAATCTGGATTCGAAGATCGGACTGGTTCCGCTATTAATGTTGCCATTCGACAGGTAAAATTATATAACTATTCAGAGTCTATCCTGGACACGAGCCGGCATACTGAAGGGGTAAAACAGGAAATGAGAGAAATCCAACTCAAAGTGGCAATGTGTACTTTAAAGAATTTTCGACAAATACTCGGTAAAATATGATACGGTATGTCAATTTCAGTCAATGTAAAGGCTCCTTTGAAATATAACATGCATGAAATATGGGGCATATTTATAGGGGCCGACGTTTTCAAGTAAATTTCTTTTTTGCCCTGGCGTTTTGAGCAGGTGTGGAAAGATGAAACTCGGTACATTACTACCTATTGGGATGCTGCGTGCAGAAAATTTCAGACTTGGGAAGTAAATGTCCCGGGAGCACAAATTTCAAAGGGAGATGTTTTCAAAAAAATATTTCACATCAGTTAAACTGATGAACATTTTTTCGGGGTGATGTTTTAAATAAAAAATTTTGTCCTGGCGAATTAGACAGTAATAGGAAGGGTTAAACTTGGCGCACTTATAAGTGACATGGTATTATTGAGTTGAGGGAGTATTCAGCCTTCATGATGCATCCCCTCCTGGCATAGCTTTTGGGTGCGTCGACTTTTCCAAACATGTTTTTTCATCAGTGAAAGGGGCAAACGTATATGGTTGAAACGTTGTGGGCATGTAGTTCTCTGAGGATTGATTTCGGTATTTAAAAAAGGTACTTTTTCGTTAAAACGCCCCAGGGCACATACATTACAAAAGGAGCATTTTCTCGAATTGTCTCGAACCAGCAAAGCAGAGGGCGCTAGAAAAGTTAAACTTCCCAAAAGAAGAACCTGATGGATAGATGAGTTCAGGAAAATTTCTACTTTGGTGATACATGTCATAGGGGCACACCTTTCCGGGATCATATTTTGAAGCAGTTCTCTTTGCTTCAATCAAACGGAGACACATGGAAAGCTGAAACTTGGCAAGAACGTGACTGCCGACGCACTAAGCTCAGGAAAAATGTCAAATTTCCAAAATATTGGAATTTTGGGGGACATTTCTTGGGGACGTAACGTTTTCAAATAATTTTTCCTATCCTACCGAATCGGGCTATTTGAACTCTATTCATTCATGTTTTTGGCAATTTAGTCTCCCTTTTGCCGAGAAACTCATGTATATAAGGGGGTACTTTTTTTCCGGGCACCCTATAGACAAATGAATGCATGCTTCGCTTATTCATCACCAAAGAATACGGCACTGTCATATGAGATTGCAAGAGATTGGATGTCATCGAGCTGTACGCCTTTTCGTGGAACAAACAAGGCTTGATTTTGGCAACTGCTGTTCCTAAAGGGTCGCACTATCGATGGCGAGTATCACTGACACCTGCCACAAAAGGAACATTTGTTGGCAGTGAACAAGTTGCTCCCAGAACTGGTGAATGGAATTTCCCCGTGCACCAGTACAACGCACTCTGCCCGCGTTGTGACAGAGTCAAGTGCTGGAAAATGAATTGGAACGCATTCGACATCCTCCCTATTCGTCAATTTCGCCGTGAGTGACTTACGACTAATTTGGCAATCTGAAGGATTCGTTTCGAGGAAATAAATATTCAATATTATAGGAGACGACCAGGAGAAATCCTCAAAGATGCCCCAATCTTTCTTGAGTTCTTGTGAAAGCTCTTTCTTTACTTGCATAATTTTGGTCTTGTCTTTGAGGCTGTCCAGTTTGAAGATCATCAGCCTTGTTGCTCCCTCTTTCTTTTTCCCAATCCGATATGCCCACTCAATGCCTGGTTTCTCCTGTATATCCAATTTCTCCTTTAGGAAGGTGTGGACCTTCTCTTCACAATGTTCTTGGGTTCCTCCACTTGCTTCTTCTGGTATCCCGTTGATGATTAAGTTGCACCTCCTCATGATGAGGTCTTGGCCTTCTAGCTGCTCCTCCAACTTTGTCAGGCGATTCTCCAGGTTTACATGCTCCTTTTCAATTCTGTTCCATCCCTGGTTCAGTTCACCCACTGCTGTGTTTGTTGCTTCCGCTTCTTTTTCCAGCTTCGTTTGTTTTATTTTCATTTGGTCCAACTTTTTTTCAACAGCCGCTATCTTATCTGCTACCCCGGACACCTCCTTTCGGACTGCCTTCACCTCCTGTGGTACTTGCAGTAGGCTGAACTCCTCCTTTGGTGGTCCTGGGTTCATCTCCACATCTCCACTCCTTGTTATTCGTAATGATGGGAACCAGTTGGTAGGGTTTATCCCACATGGGGGTAGTTCATGCAGTAGTCCTATTCCCGTTGGTGATACACATCCACTTGTACGTCTTCCAAGATCAATGCCAGTCTTCCCTCTTAGGCCTAGTTCTACTCTTCGACTTCCTTCCTCCGCACAGTCCTTCCTCATTGCTGGTCCTGCATATATGCTGAGGAACGTCATCACCACTAACATTGTCCTCCAGAAACCTCGCCGTTTGAATCCACCGGGTAGCTTCTCTTCGCCGGATCTCTGTAAAGCTCCCTTCTTCCATCTACTCAACCAGCCTCCGATCCTTCTCCAGGTTTCCAATTGGTCTCCCATCCTTTCCTTTCAGCTCCTTCCCTCTTTCTTCACCAGCACTTCTCGTTAGCTTTTTTCACTCAGGTTTTCAACTTTCTGCCCAAGAGCGAGCGCACAACACATCCACCAGATTCCCCGCCATCTACATCCATTTCTGGATATCACTAAGTCCTTCTTTCTTCGAAAAGTTACTGTAAGACGAAACTTATTCATATATATACAAGGTTAAGCCTGACTAGGCTACGCATATTGCGTAACCTTACCTGCAGCTGTGTCATCTGCTCATCAGTCGATCCCGCCACAGTAATAGTTGAAACTTCCCCACATTTTCGGGGCATTTTGAGACCGCCAACATTTAAAAACTGATAATATAGGAGCAAAAACTCAAGGCTGCAAACCTGCTCGAAGCACTGTGAAACCGGCGACGGAACTGGTAACGGAACTGGTAATGCACGACAGGATCCTTGCCAGAAGTTAGGATGTCAACAGGATCCTTGCCAGAAGTTAGGATCAGGTAAGCAGGAAGGCATGCAGTGCGACGCAATTCTCATCGCGGAAATTAAGGCCTCATGATGTGAAAACTTTTTTGAGCTCCCGACCCAGTAGTTTTCGCCAGCAGATGTCGAACGACACTTATTGTCTTAAACTGAGGCACACAAAACAAATTGGGTACTCTTGGTTATGAGATAGATGGCGGGAGGACGATTCCCTTTTGTAACGATGAGTAACAAGTTCCAATGAGATAAGTTCCATCGCTTAGCATTCTAAAGGGACAAAAATTAAAATTTTCAAGCAAACGTGCTTTCGATCAATCATAATGGTATGCGTTTCGTCTTTAGGGGGACCCCAATCTCCTGTATGCAAATGTTCAGAGTGTTCCCCTTCTTAACCTTAAAGCGAGACCTGTTGTTTTACTTTAAGAACGTCCATTAGATTAAGGGAAGATTTTGAGTTAGGCCGGGAAGTGGATCGGGAGGAAAGGATTGATCTGACCCGCTCATCGGGCGTGGACGGTGGTTGACAATTTAATATCTGGTCGGGTGCGAGAAAAAACGTCATTTTGGGGCAGCGAGTTCTGAAGCTCTTAGGACAAAGCAGGCTTTGAACTGATTCGTTCGGCAATCAAGTCTCAGGTCGAGTACAGGTCATGCGGTATGAGCACTTCTCCGGAAAGCGTTTGGTATCGTGCTATTATTATTGACCGAAAAGCGGCTTGATCACATGAAAATGGGACGAATTTTCGGACTTTTGATCCAGGAAGTATCGCCTCCGGTCATGCGCTTACGATTGACATCCCACTCGTGAAAATCCGTTCATCCGTCTAAGAAGAGTTTCCGCGGAATGACACCCTGACTCAGACAGATTAACCTTTTATGTATAAGCCTTTGGATAGGAGATGGCCTGGCATCGATTTCACACAACCGATCTCTAAAAAAGAGGTTTAATTCCGGCGCATAGGAAAGTTTTCATGAGATTCAGACATCCAGAAATGAACGTCTTCCAGTGTTTCCCCTGACAGAAACACCCTTCGCCACCCTGTTTGCTTGCACAGAATGTCCTTCATTCTGAACCGTTACCCCCGTAAAAGCGTTTCTGCGCAGATCTGCGAGGCTTTCTTCGTCTCCCCCCCCTCCAAGTAATTGCATGTTTCCAAGATGGCAATTACTTCCTATTTTCATGAATATTCTACTTCAGCATGTTTAAAATGTTCTAACTCGGTCAATTTGTAACCCATAGGGCGTGGATCATATTGCAACATTCCCCTCCTTTGACTAATTACGACTCGAAAGCTGCAAACATTACAATGACCTAGAATTATGTTACTCCTGCAGGGTAAATGTCAGCCTGGAGATATGTCTCAAAATTACCCATCCAATTACCCGTAATTGGAAGGAGCGCCGTTCTTGCGAAAAGTATACGCCTAAAACGAGGCAGGTAAGACGGGTAATATCCCCAATATCGATCACTCACCGTGCTGTAAGAGGGTCCGACGACTGGAGAAATGCAATGCCTCCCCCCCCCTTCTATTATGCATCAATCAGCAGTCGGTTGCACTTGCCCAAGGAAAGCGGAACGATGACGGTGGGCTTATACGCGCCAGTAAAGAAGGCCTTGGGCGAATTCTACAGCACCACCCAGATTAATGGCATCAGCAACGCCAGCAGAGCTACTCACCCATTCCGGAAAAGCGTTTGGTGGGTCATCACTTTGATCGCTGCAGGCGCTACAGCATACGTGAGTTCCTAGTTAAGGGAATACTGCTTTGAGGCAGCGCTCGTCTTAGCGAATTTCTCTCAAGTACATATTATTGACGTTTGCATTTCTCTTCGCAGGGGATCTATGATGTGATCGCGACTTATCTCAAGTTTTCCGTGTCGACAACAGTTTCCGTGACTCAGCCGGAATTCCTAGAATTCCCGGCCGTGACGGTCTGCAATCTCTCGCCTTTCCCTTGCTCCAAGGTCGCTGCCCTCAACAACATTGAGGACCTCTCAAAGGTATGCGAATTGAAAGTCCAACTTGTTTGTGAATCTAACATTCAAGGAAAATGGTTTTCTCTTATCCCACAATTTCAATATTGAGATTTTTTCATAAGCCACCGGAACTGCGTCTTTCAACAGTGTACCACGTGCATTCAACTTGTTCTCTCCAAGATTTTCTGGTTGGAGAAAAACCACAACGTTTCCTGATAGACATCCAGTTTTTGAATCTGAATAAACGTGAGCCTATTAAATTAATTGAACCCCTTCCCGAGCCAAATTCAACATCCTCGTATTCCTCTCTGAGAGCAATATAGGAATGAAATTTGTCATTTTCCTTCCTCTCTGAAGCAAATTTGAAGTTCCTTCTCCCCGTGGTTGTGGTGTGCACTGAATCTCGCTTTTTGAAAATGTGAATTTCCGGCATTTTATTTCTCTCCCCAACTGCGTATCCACTCGTGGGGAGTTTTCGGAGGAAAGAGACCAACGAAACGAAAAGATCGAATTGTCGGTGAAGAAAAGAGAGATGGCTCCGATCAGTCTTTCAGTGTTATCAGATTTCGTGCCGGAATTATGCCTGATTCGTGACATCTTCGGCCTCAGTGTCTGAATCTTTTCTATTTTTAATGCATGAAACAATTATGTGCCGAGTTCGTGAGATGAGCTGGGATAGAAAAGATGGATAGCATGGACCTGGTGGAATATTGAAATATCTCATTCGGACATCTCTTAACTAACGGGATGACGCTCAGATTGTATTTGATGGCCCTAAAGGCATTCTGTAGCCAAAACTAGTCGAGACGGTTCGAGGAACTCTAGATAGGCCTCATGTTCCTCGTCTGCACCGAAATTGTTCATGAAACCATGACCAGACCTCTAATCTGTCTAACATTACACGTCCTCTCTTAAAAGGGTCAAGATAGGCTCAATATACCTGTGATTAGCCTAACGTTAAGCAAACCTGAACGAGATGTCTCTGGGCTGGGGTTGAAGAGAGGGAAAGCCTTTGAAGAATGGCTTTCACAACTCTTCGTTGGACTTCAGTCACAGGGTCCATCATATTCGTGCTAATGATACTCCTCTCCACGTTCCGTGCATCCGAGTTTCGTCTTTGCGCACACTAGTCAGCTAAAGATCGTTGTTTCATAAAGAAATTGTAAGCCTGCAAACTCAAGTACCTCCGTTTCCAAACTGTCTCTAAAAGAAAATGTATGCAAGCATTCCCTGAGAGAACGTTACATCCATCCCAAACTTCTCGACGTTCATACACAAAAACGATGGTAAGGAGAGGAATGAAACCTCACCTTATTCTCCTTCCAGATAATGGGGTGCAACAGTTTAGATCAGACTCCATCCATCAGGAATGAGACTGCATCCAACGGAAATCAAACGACATCCAACGGACATAATTCATCCCATGTGAGTATTACATGGCTACCATTTATGCACTCCATCTCGATCTGGAATATGCGTGCAAGCCAAATGGAAAAAATAATGATTTTTCTCTGGAATATTACATGTATATACGATATTTTAGTACCCCAATTGTGGATGCCAAACGAGACTCATTGAATTTGGTACAAGTAATTTTTTTTTGGAAAGAACCAAAGACATCACACCAAAAGACACTAACGATTCCTGTCCTCCAACAGAACTGAGTTGTCTCCGACTGTTGCTGCCTCTGACCCCAACCTAATTAATTATTTTCAATGCATTGCCTTATTTTTTATTTATTATATGGGTATGTTTTCCTAACATATCCACTGTTTAGAGTTCAAGTCTGGGATATGGATGTCGATAGGCGTTTTTGTGTATTATGTCGTCCGTGTAGAGGATTGAACGTTCGTCTATCATGAGAAGGGTCTACTCCCCTTAAAGATATATACGAGGTGTGATCAAAAAGTTCCAATACTTGTTTTTTTTTATGAGGCTGTGGTGACTCTCTCCGACTGCAGACTGCAGCAATTGCTCTCATTCCTCTCTTTAAAAATATTTTTCCTCTCCACAGCGGATTGAAAGCATATAAAAAGACACGTATTCCTCTTTATGACAATCGAATCTGCCCTAGAAAGTTTTCCCTAATTAAATGCTGAAACACTCTGAATATAACGGTAGTCTTAGTCAACCACAATCCTACACCATTTTAAAAGCCCAACTGTGTCATTATTCATAGTATCTATCAATTGCAATCCGCCTCCCCTCTCACCATGCAAATACATCTAGTAACCTTTGGAATTGGAAGGCACTATGCTATTGGGACATTAATGATTTATTTTCTAATAGAATGAGGTATTACACCTTGATATATCCGCCAAAGTTAAAACCATTTTGTCTCCAACAATTCAGGAAGGCGGAAGAAAGGAATTCGCGGATGATCAAGTGACCAGCAACACGTATATGTATCTCCTATCAAGTCTGACGAAAGAGCAGAAGTTGCAACTCGTGCAAGATAGAGATGAGTTCATCCGCAGCTGCACCTACGAGGGCATCGATTGCAAAAGGTCAGGTCAATGAGGACCTCACTCTCTCAAAGAAGTTTCGTCTGCTCACGATCAAATCCTTTTTTTCTTTGCAGCTTTTTTTTGCCCTTTTCGAACACGACGTATGGGAGCTGCTACGTCTTCAACTTGAAGTTGAACATGGACAATGATTCAGATGCCGGATCTAGGAAAGTCGTTTTCGCTGGCCCGAGCAATGGTACGTTCCATAACTCTTAACAAGACTGGAGACCCATAAATATCAGCAGAAAAGCAAAAGCGGCGATTTATTAGAGAAATTTATGACCAATGTTTCAGTGAAACCTGATACCCTGAAGAAAGGAACCTTGCGTACCCGAAACGTTGGTCTCTAACTTTTATGAATCTTCTAGTTCGAGGCGCCTTTGTATGTTAAGATTTATACCCGATGAAATGTTTGTTCAAGGTGACAGTGCCTCCAAATGCAGACATCTTATAAAGACGACATTACTGTGTATTTTTTCCATGGCATTGCCTTTTCAAAGTGATGAATAATACGCTCACCCAATGACCATACCCGCCATGAGGAAAACTCAATGTCTGCATAGTTTTTAAGAAAAAACGAGTTTTTTTTAAAAATGGTATTGCTGGTAGATTTCTCCATAACCCGCATGAATAATACAAGCGTTCTTCTTACTCTATTGACAGGGCGTTGCTTCATTCCATCGGAGAAGAAGTTTTATATTGTTCGCAAATTTTTTTTCTTGGGCAGGACTGCAGTTGGAGTTGTATTTGAACGCGAGTCAGTGGCCATCGAGTGTGCTGTCATCAGAAGGCGGCGTCCGTGTTGTCATCAACCAACCCAGCAACCTCCCTTCCCCCGAGGAATCCGGATTCGATGCCCGCACTGGCTCAGTTACAAAAGTTTCCATTAGACAGGTCAAAATCCGTAACTATTCACTATCTATTGCAGCATCTCCTAGCATTCATGAATAACGGCCGGAAATACACCAAGTGTGTGTAAATGTAGTTTCAGTAACGTGTAAATAATAGTACCATTGTGCCAAAATAAAATGTAACTGCAAATGGATGAGAAGTACATATTTTTCCGGTTTTTATTCCGGGTCTCTAGATTTATAGGAAGCATAAAAAAGATTAATTTGCATATACACGTAGGTGGAAGTGTCAAGGCTGAATTTTCCGTATGAAAATGACTGCTACAGTTCGTGGGACCAGTGTGGTTACTACCCGACTAACTCCAAAGAAGTCGCTTATGACTCCCTGGTTAGTCCTATTTATACAGTATTAATTGTGAGCTATACTATTTAGCGACACGGTCGAAGTTCCAATCCTGTGGCCCAACCAGTCAGAAGTAATTTATTCTGTATTTTTTTCATATCCCCTTATTATCAATACATTAGCTTTGTGAACGGCTGCGTTGATGTAGTTGACCAAGAGGTCGAAGCGTCTGAGAGGATTCGGTTGACCTAAACCTAGATAGAATAAGTTCCTTGATCATAATCAATCTGCCTATTACCCACCTCACCGAATTCATCAGAAAAGAATGGCTGTAAGAAATTGCGCGTCAACGTTTCTTCAGAACAAACCTAGGAAATTTTCATTGAGATTCCATACTCCAAACGACGCTTCAGAAAAGCAGAGGAAAAAGTGCGCCCCACTATGCAGGTTTGGAAAGGTTGACCCATAACTGTATCTTTTTCTATTATCGCCGATACTATCGTCGGCTCGTTCATTTTTCCTGAACGTTTGTGCGCACAGTTGACCTACGTACGCTGTGAATGTGTTAGGAGCCACACGAAATCTCTCACTTCCATCTTCGACCGTGTATCTCCAGAGTCGAGGGTATGGATAACAAAGATGTTGATGCATTCGGAAGCAGATGTGCAGGCGGATGTGTCTGCAGGCGAAGATCGTGAAAAACTGCTTTTGCAAGCTCCCTTACATCCAAGACTACTTCACCTTCTCGGACGGGGAGTTGGATGATAGCCCCATTTGCGACGTTCGATCCCTCGGTTCGTCTCCTCTGATTCTTTAGGTCTATTTTTAGTCTTGTTTTCAAGTTTATTTTCTGCTCACATTTTTGAAACAATAAAAATAATAATGAACTGAAACAACGTTCTTCTAGGAAAGTATTTCCAATTTCCCACTTTACTGCTACTTTATTTGCTTTTATATTCATTCCTCTTGACGATTGAGGAAATAAATACTAGATTATTTCAATTTCAATTTTCATTGAGTTTCGAGAAAATGTAGAAACGATTTCATATTTCCTAAGTGAACATCTCGCTTTAAAATCAATGTTCATTAAAATGGTTCGTTTCATTTTAGTACATAATCAGATATGACAATGAGGTCAACATATGCTCAATAAAACCATGACAAAAAAATTAAAATGATAAGTTATTTGTTGTTTGTGTACGAAATTTGGTCGCGCCTAGGCCTTTTTTCGTTCTCACCTTCATTTTAATATTTAATGCAGTTATCATCCAGAAATCATACGGTTTACAGAAAAAATCATGCGCGCAAATTAGTAATAACATCGTAACGTTATTCATTGTTTTGCTTGGTGGCTTTTCCGCTACGTGGACTCCTTCACAACAGTAATTATTGCTCTGATTAATTTTCACCCGTCTTTGCCCATTTCCCCTTCTGACTATTGCAGATACTAATGACAACGTGTGCATCCTTCGCGTCTTTGACGAAATGAAGAATAGAAGCATCACTTGTCCCTGCAACTCAGAATGCCAGTGAGTCAGGTTCTTACAATATTTCCCAGTCATACCCGTCCAAAGGAGTGGATTTTCGTGGCAAAAAAGGAAATGCGTTTTGGTCAATGGATGAAGATCGGCGGTGGATTGGATATAAATGACTTCAGCATAATAAAACTTTAAGCCTCCTTTAGCGCTATTAATGGAAGTTTAAAAGCTTCATTACGCTAAAGTCAGTTTTATGCAATCCACCATGGACTTTAACGGAGAAAAGGGACGAGGATGACGTGAGAAAGGACGTGCGAAACGCAGCCAGTCTTCCTTTCCTGGCATTTCCCTTCATGCTGTCGTCCTAGCAAGAACCAGGTACACTTTTTAACAGCCAATGCATTTCGGAATAGCTCATAGCTTAGCTTCCAAATGATAAACTTTATAAAATTTCCCAAATCTGAAAAAAATCAATATTTGAAGTATGCGCTTTCCTGAAACTAGCCGATAACGGAGCGGATACTTCTTTTTAGTTGCTGCAAGTCTTCCTTACATATTGTATTTAAGAGGAATGGATCTCAGTGGGCGTTATTTCTCTTCCATTCACAGACAAACTGAATACAGGGCGACTATTTCATCGTCGGAATGGCCAACTGACTCGTACATGGCAAGTCTCACCGTGAAAATCAAAAACTTCCAAGACGTCGAATCCTTATTTGCGATATTAGTCTTTTTGACAAATTCCTCAGGCAGACGCGATGACTTCCATGACATTGGGAACTCAGATGCAATCGCATGGAAGAGATCGGATGAAGTCGGAGGTGGTTAAGGTGGTCATCTACTTTTCATCGATCATCAAGGAAACCATCGCAGAATCCCCCAGTGTGACGGTGAGTCCCACCATAGCCATGCCGCTTCCTTGGAGGTCATATCTTCCTCCGCCATCCGGTCATAATAGAGAGGGGATGCGTTTCATTATTTCATTTAGAGTACGGACCTGTTGAGCAGCCTGGGAGGAGCCCTAAGCCTGTACTTAGGAATTTCCTTGGTAATGTTCTTGGAAATCATCGAGATCATTCCCTTGGCCGTCCTGGCCTTTATTAGCAAGTGCTTCGGGATCGATCAGGAACAAAACAATCCACCACCTAGGAGACGTGTGCCTTGTCGGAGTGCTGCCCCCTTGGAAAATCCAGCCCCCAATGCATGGAACACGAAACCATTTTGACATTCCACAAATCTGTGACTGGTTTTTTGTTCTACGTGATTCATTTAAGTTTGAGTAGATATTATGAGCAGCAGCACCGGTTCCCCTATTCCTTTCTTGCAAAATTACTACCGTACACAATATCAAACTTGATGCTTGAATACGACACTGGATAATATTCATTGAAACTCGCAGAGAGAAATTCGAAGTTCAAAACACAAAGACTTGGTACCTAAGTTTGGACAGACATACATAATTCCGAATCACTCGTTTTCAATGGCGATTCTTGCAGATTCTTGATCCTTCCGAAATCCACATCTCCGAACATCCTCTTATAATAAATCGCTGTTGGTCACAAACCCATGTCAATTTCTCTACATATAAAGTTACGATGGGTAGAATGGGAGCCCTTGAGGTTGCGACAGGAGCACTTGAAAAATCAATTTGCGCAGCTGTATTCCGAATATGATATTATTGATAATAGGAGGGAGCCAACATATTCATTACTTCTAATTTACTTCAGTGAAAGTTATTTTGTGCCTGTTTGAAGTAATTTCCATTATTGTTAATTATTCTTTTTTTTCCTAATATATTCAGACAATCGTGACTGGCTGACTGACGCTAATTTTAACAATATTCTAGAGAAGTTAGGAATCTGAAACTTAATACACAAAGTAGCTATTGGGAATTAGAGTTCAGAAAAAATCGTCTTTGGGAGTACATGCCATGGGGGGACGTTCCGGGTGGGGGACTGTTTTTGCAAGCCTAGGCCCAGCCCCCCAGACGGAGGTTTAGGCCTATGCCATTTTCATACACGCATTCCTTCCTCTGTCATTGAAGGAAGTGTATGGAGCTGCTAGGTTCTCCACTCAGGAGGAACTCCGACATTGGGGGGTACATACCCTGGGAACAATTTTCCTGGGAACAACAACGAGGCTGGTTTCGCAGGCCTAAGCCTAACCATGGATGGACGCTTAGGCCAATACCATTCTCATATGGTTTCTTTTTCATAGGAAGCGGGATGGAATAACAAATTGTGGTTGGCTTGCAAACTACAGATAAAAGTTCGACATTGGAGCTACGCTCCCTGTGGGGACTGGTTCAGCATACTGTATCTAACCCTTGGACAGACGCTCAGGCCTATATCGATCTGGACTCATTGGCGTCCATGAGCTTTTCGGTCGATCTGAACGGAAAACTTGCTGCCTGAGCATGCGGCGCGAGGTCTTTGTCCTATGCCAATCTTGGTCATGAGCTAGGTAGGACTTAGGTCTATAAAGAGCTATTCCAGTTAAACTCTCAAGTGGTTCATGTCATTAATATGCCTGCTATTACGCACTTCTACTTCCTTTGAGATTGACATGCAATCAAGACCGCGTCCTTGGGGAACGACACGCTTCTGCCAGCGTCGATACAGTTCCTCGAAACATTTCTGGAAGCCAAAACTGTGTGCTACACCTTGACAATAATCTCGCGCATCGGTCGCTTCTTGTACAACAACAGCTCGGCAAACATGGAACTGTGGTGCTTCCTCACCCTCCGTACTCGCCTGATCTCGCGCATTGTGATTTTTGCCTTTTTTCACGCATGAAAGACCGATTGAAGGGCCGCCAGTTCAAAGATACAGGTGAGACTAAGGCGACTTCGGAGACGGATTTGAAGGAGGTGGCGCGTGGAGGCTTCCAGAAATGTTTCGAGGAACTATATCGACGCTGGCAGAAGTGTCTCGTTGCCCTAGGGCAGTAATTTGCGTATAATTGTTCCTAAGTGTCCTTGAAATGCTGAAATAAAATCAGTCTGGAAATATTATGAACCTATCTCGTAAAAATGACTAGCCAATACGCGGTTGGGAAATTCCGCTTGAAATTTGTAACCTTTTTGTTATCCATATTTCGACCGGAAATTTGCAGGCACAGTTAAACCCGATTCATTTTCCATGATAAGTAATGGGCTATTTTGCACACCATGGGTCCATATAACATGATGCATTTCATACGTCCTTCTTAAAATAAAAAATTCCCATGAAGCAAAATCGCACATTTAATGGATTAAAAAATTGAAAGAAACGAAGAAACTCGAAATTCATGGCTCTCACTACTTTTTCAAGAAACTCCCGTTTAATCAATTATCTTCAGACCCTCACCCACAAATATTACATTACTAGGGTATAGCTTATTCACAGAAGGGAAGGAAAAATAATGCATGGACATTATTACCCTTATTTACTGGTTATGGAATACCATTATGCATTTGGATACCAACATGAGACTAGGGGAGAGGAACTAGGACGCCCTGGCAATGGACATCAATCCTTTAGATGAAAACCAGAAAGAACAAAGTGAAACAAAATGAAGCTTGGAAAAAAAACTACAAGAAGTCGTAGCTAAATGAGTGCGCGATGGGCTTTAGGAGCAATCAGGGACATCCTCCTCTTAGAAAAATACGACTCAAGAGTGATATGCATTACCCGGACTCTATATTCACCCTATAGGAAAATATATGTTCACCTCGGGTCGTAAATAGCTCGGTAAATAATAGCATAATTCGAAGGTACGCCCTTCCCACGAAGATCATAACCCCAAGAGACCGATAAGTACAAAGAGTAATGTCCCCAGTATTGATCCTTCCCCTTACTGTGTTAGTGCGGAATGGCTAAACACATACATCAATACCTCGTCCTTCTTCTATATGTACCTCTCAGCAGTCGGTAGCATTTCTTCAAGGAAAGGGAACGATGACCGTGAGCTTGAGCGCGCCTGTAAGGAATGTCTTGGATGAATTCTTCAGAACCACCCAGATTAATGGCATCAGCAACGCCAGCAGAGCCACTCATCCATTCCGAAAATTCATTTGGTGCGTCATCACTTTGATCGCTGCAAGCGCCACAACATACGTGAGTTCCTAGTAAAAGGGATACTTCTTTGATGCAGATAAGTCTAGCGGATAGTTTAAGCAACACTATCCAAACTGCGCGGTGTTTTAGTTTGCATTTCTTTTCTGCAGGAGATCTATGATGTGATTGCGACTTTCCTGATGTTTTCTGTGTCGACAACAGTTTCCATGACTCAACCAGAATCCCTAGACTTCCCAGCTGTGACAATCTGCAATCTCTCTCCTTTCCCATGCTACAAAGTCGCGGCTCTCTACGACATTCCAGACCTCTCAAAGGTACTCGCGCATGTTGGAAGTCCTACTTGTTTGTGAATCCAACTTTGTGGGATATTGTTCCTTCCAATCCCATAGCTTCATTACTGAGAATGTTCTTCTCAACAGAACCTCCAATTATTCGGGAGGTTTTCGAAGGCGTACACCCTCCCCGTCCATTCCAATGCTTTCCCTTTAAACGATAACGAGGTCATTTCTTGATGGGTTTCTTATTTCCGAGTCTGCACAGCAAAGTAGATACGTTTTTATTTTTTATGTTATGCGGTACAAACGTACGTCTTTTTATGCGTTCATTGAAAAGGTATGGAAGTATAATAAGGCGCAATTGTGGACCCTTCTTATCTCTATTCAGAAAGTACGGATAGGGTCTTTTCTTTAGAATTCGCATGGCTTCCAGAAAAAGCTCCTGAACATCATTATTCAGCGTCGACTGGCTTTGAAGTGAGCTGCAATGACACCATCATCTGGTACCACGTCTCCGACAGTTGGCGAATTGTCACAGGCATAATAGTGACAGCTCCACATTGGCATCACAACACAACAGGCTTGCTAGCTGTCTCATAAACAGCGCCTTCTGGAGTTATCATGTAGACAGTTGGTAGCAAGTTCACAGTATTGTAAGGACAACCTAAATATTTCTTAGGAGATAGGCAACTTATTCGTTCGAGAGTAAAAACTAACTTGTCAGTTGAAACTTCTCTGTCCTTGCGCAAAACCCCAGTCTTTAAAACTTTCCCGAATCATTGGTTGTCATTCAAAGATGATAATAATAATTTTACCAAATACTAATTTACGATCATCATAATGGGAAGAATATAGGAAAATAAAGGAAACTTTCCTTCTAAGGTCTTGTGCGTCATGATTTGAGTTCGAATGTTTGGGGCAACACTAACGCCCTAGTATGCCTATGTTGACTATTGCTTTGGGATATCTGCGTCTGCAACGTACAAATGTGTACGCCTGAGTCACATCTGCGCTAATGTGTGCACAGAGATACGCACGTGGACCAGAAGGACACAAATATGTACTTCTCGCATTTGTACCTCTTGCACGTTTCTACTTTGCAGCGTGGCAATACAATCTGCTGGCAAACAAAGCTAGTAACAGAAGCTTACTCCACGTTATGCTTGAGGTTTACAGATGTACAAGCAATGACTTAGGAAAAAAGACTGTCTCTGGAGTAGGAGATGATGTAATAGTTTAAATCGCCAGAGCATATAATCGTGACTTGTAAAAATGAGAGCAGCATTTTATATTGATGGTGCTTATTGTCCTTATCTGTGGGAATGTTGAAAAAAAACCGAAGAAAAGGCGTGTGGCATACCGAATACCCATGCTAGTATAATTATATTCATCAATCCTTTTCAAGTCTTTGAATCAATAGTCGGTAATGGTCTCAGACACTGACGAAATATCCTTAATTTTCCGATGCTACATATTACCCTTGCATGGTATCAACCTACCACATGATACAATTAACTCAATTAAGCCTAACGTAGTACCATTAGCTTCTTCATGAGTTACATGGTACCATTCCCTTGCAACACAGGAACTTGCTATGGCCAACAGAAATATTGAAGTTGCTGAAGAAAATTTCATTAGTACCCTTGGAGTAGCAGAGCTTTTTTTAAAAGGGTATTATTTGCCTCTATATCGTAAGTGAAAGATTTTGGCAAGATTTTAATATTCAATGCATTCTCCCAGCGGAGCTCTCTTTCCCTTTAACTCAGCATCTTATGAAATAACATCTCATGCATGCACAGGTTCATCCTCAAAAGTGTACTCAACGTTTTCTCTGTTTATTCAAATCGAGTTTACCGCTACGGTGATACGAATTGGCCTGAAAATGTTTTACAATAAAATTATTTGATTCTGACAAAGGAAAAGATTACGCTGTTGCCCCCAGAAAACAACCAAATGTCTTCTCAACCTTCTTCCTTTCTACTCTTTCCATTTTTACATGTATCCATTGGACTTTCGTTTTGGTGTCAACTGCGGTAGAAACTTGGCAGTACTTCTTTCCACGTGTTACGCACAAGTTTCGTCTTTACAGGATAAAAAGGAAAGCACGCGATCGCGCTAGCACGATTACCGTAATTTTCCGACATGTGACATTAATAAATTTCTCCCTGTAATCCACCTCCTGGAGGATTTTACCCTTATTCCAAACTTCCCAAATTCAGAAAAAATTTCAAATACCTGAACTAGACCTCATCATATCCTCCTTTCAGATTCTAGGGTGTAGTACTGGAAATCAGACTGAATCCAAGGGAAATGAGACTTCGTCCAGTGCAAATTGGACTGCATCCAGCGGAGGATCTAATTCATCCAAAGTGAGTACTTCGTGAATTATTTCCCATTCATGCCCTGGAAAGCGATCTGGAGTATGCGCGTTGGCGAAATAAAGTGTGGATGTCATCTCCAGAACTTAAAAGAATCAGATGTCATCGTCTCGAATCCAAAGTGTTGATGATGCCAAGGAGTACTTAAAACACTATAAGTTCGAGGGATGGCAGGCAATAAGTTTGATTCCCCTGGCTCACACAATGAAGGACGCAATACCGGCTAAGCAAGTTCACTGAAAATACCGTAGAGCCGAAAGAGAACTCATGATATCAGAAAGGAGTTTTCTGGGTCAAATACGACCTATGACTGCTTAAAAATAAATTTTAAATCCATTCCCTCTTTTTTGCTTAATAATATGACACTTTCGGGAACAACACCCTTTTCAAGGTAAGACATTCGGATAGAGACGCCAACAAACCCATCCAGCCAAGAGGACGTCCAGTGTCAAGATTGAGCATTCATGCAGTATGTCAGGAGATTGGTATACTACATTAAAGATAGATATTTCCTAGAAGCATATCCGCCCGGTCTCCTACATTAAACTAAATCCTTTTTTACATTTTTTAAATTAAGGCATGAAGTCTCTTCCCAAGTCCCACCACGGTAAAGAAGCCCGCATCATCATCCCTTACCACATTTCAGACATCAATTACTGTTAAGTAACGAACTCATTCCGCACACGGACCTCCAACATATGAAACCACACTTTCTCCCACGTCTCAGGGTGGGGAAAATAAGGGATTCACGAAGGATCAGGTAACCGGCAACACTTACATGTATCTCCTATCAAGTCTGACGAAAGAGCAGAAGTTGCAACTCATGCAAGATAGAGATGAGTTCATCCGCAGCTGCACCTACGAGGGAATCGATTGCAAAAGGTCAGGTCAATGAGGACCTCATTCTCTCAAAGAAGTCTGGTCTGCTCAAAAATAAAATCTCCTTTTCCTTGCAGCTATTTCTTGCCCTATTCGAACACGACATACGGGAGTTGCTATGTCTTCAACTTGAAGTTGAACAAGGACAATGATTCAGGGGCAGGATCTAGGAAAGTCGTTTTCGCTGGCCCGAGCAATGGTGCGTTCCATAACTCTTAAATATAACGGAGGCCCATTAATGTCAGCGAAACAATGGAATCTGGCCTCAACGAAACGGCGAAGCAATACACATGACCATATTAGAATATGGTCATGTGCATTCAGATCCACGTGCATGTTTCTGGGAAGAATAAATGTTTGTTCAAGGGGAGAGGGGCTCTGATGCATAGACCATTTGATATCAATATGCAATTGTAATTTTTCTCTGGTGTTGACCATCAGAATGATGAGTATTAGGCCCAACAAGTCATCGTTACCGTCATGGTGTATACGCTATTTCTCCGGAAGTTATAGGCGGAAAAGCTTGTCATTACGATCATAAGTGTATTTCTCCTCCGGCCCAGTGGGAGTAAAGCAAGTGCTTTTCCTGGAGGTCTATCGACTGGGAGTTTCCTCCAATGCATTGGTTCGGGAAGTTCCTCTAATCTTTTCTTTCAATGGGCAGGGTTGGAGCTGGAGTTGTATTTGAACGCAAGCCAGTGGCCATCGAGTGTGCTGTCATCGGAAGGAGGCGTTCGTGTTGTCATCAACCGACCCAGTAACCTCCCTTCCCCCGATGAATCCGGATTCAATGCTCGGACTGGTTCATCAACCGAAGTGACTCTTAGACAGGTCAAGTCCGTAACTGTTGAATATAAGAAGTACTCGGTGCATCCATGAATGAAATGAAGGACTTCCACAAAGCGTGAGATGACGAATGTAGCATGTTATGCCATCTTCGTTACATATGGAAATGGTGGCTATGCATTTAAACGAAAATGTTTAAGTAAAATCTAGTAACGGTGATGCATGTATGAGTGCACTATTGTTCGTAATTGTAAGCTAACCCCAATGAATTATACATTGCAATAGTTTTAATCCGTACAAACACATCCACGTTCTTCCTATTTCTACAAAACATCCACAGACTGTATATTTGCGTAGGTGGAAGTCTCGCGCCTAGCATATCCGTATGAAAATGACTGCTACAGTTCCTGGAACCAGTGTGGTTACTTCCCAGCCGACTCCTCCCTCGTCGACTATGATTCCCTGGTAAGATTTTTGCCAATAAAAAAAAAAAATTTTCCTATAACTTCGGCATGAGAATCAATCATTTTGCGAAACATGTCATATTGAGGACGCAATAATGGTGATGGAAGATCTTATTTTGGAAGACACCATCATTTGTTGGTATGTGTTGAAAGAAAAAGGAAAAGGATGAAGGACAACCATGGCAAGGGTGAAGAAATCTCCTGCGATGAAACCTTTTATGCTTTGCGCTTGGTCTATTGACCCTGCTCCATTGTCAAGCCATCAGAGTAAATAGGGTTTCAGGGAGGCAATTTGCGGCAATTATTTTCTTTTATATCATGATTTCACTGTCTTCTTAGCGTTAATCTCATCCATCGCAACTCTCTAGGAAAGTCGATCTCTACATGTTCCATATACTCCATATTCCCTGAGTATGGACTGATACACATTTTCATCGGAAGAGAACGAATGCAATAACTTGTGACGGTCATTATTTCTTCAGTGCAGAACAAACAATAAATATTTGGATTTCAGACTAGCATCGGCATTTGACATCTACAAAGGCGAAGGCGCAGTCCAACTATTGCAGGCATTAAATGGCTTTCCCATAACTTTATCTAGGATCGTCTATACTTTCGACGGTACTTTTCAAAGAAAGTGCAGTAACTCGATATAAAAATATAAGAGGTCACGAGAAATTCCTTGCTCTCTTCTTCAATCGAGTCTAAGCACCTCCAGAGAGGAGGGTATTGATAAGAATGTTCATGCATGTGGGTGCAGATGTGCAGGCGGATATGTGTACAGGCGACGATCGTGGAGAACTGCTATTGCAAATTACCCTACATCCAGGACTACTTCATCTTCCCGGACGGGGAATTGGATGAAAGCCCCATTTGCGACGTTCGATCCCTCGGTCCGCCTCTTTCACCAATCGTTTAGGCCTACTCTTAGTCCTACTGAAAAGTATGCTCGTACGCACGAAAATTTTAAATCTGCATGTGAAAGCTTGCGTGGAAGGATCTTTCGTCACAGGAGGTTGGAGGGATCTTTCTTCATTTGGTGTTTCCTTTCCCGCTGAGCCTTATAGCTGCTTCCATATTCCATTCCGTAGACGATTTCCCGTGGTGTATCACTATTGCAAAATATAACAATGACAATTACAAATTGGAGTTCATCCCACATGTTCGTAGCATTTTAACCCATTCCCATCCTGTGAATTTATCCTTAAAACCTCTTTAAGTCTCCCAAGATTCAAACCTTTTACACACCGCCACACTGAAATTACTGCAATTCAATATAAACCTCTTGGTCAGCTCATTTACCCGACATCTAGAAGAAACCGTTGGAAAATTGAATGGGTAGCACCGCATTTGTACTGATCATGACCAGGAGCACTAGGGCGTACCAATGCGCATATGGATGCAAATGAGTCATTATTATGGGTTTTGATGAAATGTCCACATGTGACCGCTACCATCGCGGAAGGAAAATATATAAATGAGAGATTTCTTGGCAATGAGAGATTATTTAACTAACTACGTCCTATAATTGCACCAACCTTCTTGTTACTGTCACACGCAGTTGTTATCTGCTAATTATTTCAAAAGAAAACAACGTCCACACATCGCGATGATCATCGTACAACAACTTCTTGCATCGTTACGAATCAATTTTGCTGCGCGGGCTGCACGGTAGTAATATTTCTAATTCCTCCTTACTTTCTCTATTTTCCCTTTTGGCCGTTGTAGATACTACGAACAGCCTGTGCATCAAGAGGGTATATGCCTCAATAGAGAACGGAAGCATCACCTGTCCTTGCCATTCACAATGCCAGTGAGTCAGATTTTTTCCACTTCCCAACCAAATTTTTCCATTTTTTTAGATTTGCATGAAATGCAAATGCATAAAAGAAACTCAGCCACCACAATGGTCGAATGAATATTTTATTTGAAGCGGATAACAAAAATCGAGCGAAAAAAGCAGCGCGGGACGCATTCTGCTTCAGTTGTCCGGCATTTCTATTCTTCCAGTCCTCCTATCGTGAGCCAAGCTCCATTTGCGGCACACAACCCCCAAAAATAACATATTATTGAATAAATTTGCTCGTGATATTCTATTTAAAAAAAACGTTCATGGTATATATCAACTTCCAAAGAAATCAGTCGCTGGGCCATGCTCTTCTCTTGAAAATACCCGCGGTGAGCCCGGATATTTTTAAAATAATTGTTGCGTGTCGAATTTGGTCATTCCATTGGTGTAAAAGCAGAGGATCTCAGGCTAGGTCATTTCTCTCTCGTTCATAGACAAACGGAATACAGGGCGACGGTATCATCCTCGGAATGGCCAACTGACTCTTACATGGTAAGTCTTACCATGATAATAATCACAAACGCTCCATGCGACGAATCCCAGCTTGCAATGAAATTGGTTCTGAAACTCTTCAGATGGACGCAATGAACTCCATGAATTTAGAGTCTCAGTTGCGACAGGACGGAAGTGCTCGGATGAAGTCGGAGGTGGTCAAGGTCGTCATCTATTTCTCATCGATCATGAAGGAAACGATCGCGGAATCCGCCAGCGTGACGGTGAGTCCCAACATCGCCAGGATGATCCTCTGGGGACGATATCTGCCGTCGCTATTCGGTCATGACGGAGCGAATAAGCTTTCCTTCTCTGATCTCACCAGAGCACCAACCTATTGAGCAGCCTGGGAGGAGCTCTAAGCCTGTACTTTGGAATCTCCTTGGTCATGTTCCTGGAAATCATCGAGATTATTCCCCTGATGGTCATAACCTTTATCAGCAAATGCTTCAGAGTCGTCCAGAGTCAGAAAGTGCCGGTGAATCCACCACCGAGGAGACGAGTGCCTCGTCACAGTGCACACTTGCAATATCCCACCCCCCTCGCATTGAACATGGAACGAATTTGACATTTCACAATAACTGTTTGACTAACTCACGCCCATTTTCTGTGCCTTCTCGATATTTCGTCATTACGTATCCTGAGCAGCATGCACTAGTTCCCAATTGCTATCATTCTTCGCAAAAACGTTGTCGTCCAAAAATATCGACTCTCAAGATTCTTGAATGCGAAAATATGTATATTAGGAAGTATTTACGAAGCACTCAACTGCGAAATCAAAGACTTGTCCCACAATTTCGAATCGCATAGAGGATTCTACAGCCCTCTTTTATTCGCAGTCAATTCTTGCTACAAGTCTCTTTCCGCTCCTCTTGTGTCCCACATGATGTTCAACATGTATTGAAACAACCGTTTAACAAAGCTATCGTCATTCTCCGTCATGATCCATCTGTATCAGGCTGAAACGAAAGTCTGTTCTTGTGCCTTCATCAATGCGAAGTTTTCATGAATAAAGACGAGAATATTGCTGCGAAAAAGTCCCCAAGTGTGTTTACAACTCCGAAATGGAAGCAGGACGGAGTGAAGTGAAATGCAGCTCTCTTAATCAACATAAATGTTTGGCCGAACCCTTTACGTGATGACCCCCATATCCGAATTGTGACATTCTCCTTCTCCAGTAACTAATAGGGCTTGACAATTGCATTTGTGACTGTTGAACAAAATGCTTTGGTATAGGAGAGATTTCTACCTCGAAGCCTGCCTCATGATGTATAAGTAAAGGGATACATATAGGGATACAGGATATCGAGAGTTGGACCTTATTTGAAGAACCAGACGACGCAGAGAAGCTAAGGTAAGAGTAGGTATCTCCCCAGGATCGATACATAATTGTTATTGGGGAAACATGAGGCTGACCGCACATAATTTCCGATGTCTCCTCCCTCCTTTGCGCCCGCCTTGCCGCAGTCAGTAGCCTTCCTGCGGGAGAGCGGTAAGATGACGATGAGCTGGTATTCGCCAATACAAAATGTTTTGGGAGAATTCTGCAGCACGACCCAGATAAATGGGATCAGTAATGCCAGCAGAACCACTCATTCATTTCGGAAATCTATTTGGTGGATCATCACCTTGGTCGCAATCTGTGCCACTATCTACGTGAGTTCCATTTCAATGAATTTTTTTCCGCTCCGATGCAGCTGATTTGCTGTCACTGGTAATTAGCGATGGTTACCTCACTATGTCAGCTATGTATGTTTTTCTTTTATTTGGCTTCATTCGTGGCAGGGTCTCTATGGTGTGATTTCGACCTATCTGCAGTATTCCGTGTCTACGACGGTGTCCATAACACAGCCAAAATTCCTCAATTTCCCAGCTGTAACAGTCTGCAACCTCTCGCCCTTCCCTTGCTCCAAGGCCAAACAATATCCAGAATTGGCAAAGGTACAACCGTATACCCATAGAAAACCATGATAAATTATGTTCACGAATTCGCCTGTCACGAAAGCTTCACGCTATCTCAGGTTTCTTGAAAATGAATTTTTGTGCAAATTAAGCCAACAAGATCGATGATACTTCAAATAATCCTCTTTCCAGATACTAGGGTGCCAAAGTGGAAATCAGCATGCCACTAGCGCAAATCAGAATGCCACTAGCGCAAATCAGTGGGTATCCAGCGGAAACCAGACGGCATTTACAGGACAGAACTCATCCAAGGTAGGTCCTTAATGCTTCCATTGTTCAAATTTCGGAGTTCGACCTAAAATACGTCAAGTGAAAGAATGCGTATCTAGAACCTCGAGGCTTCTGATGTACTTCTTTTAAATCCGAAACTGCAGGAACCAACAAGGACCAAATTAAACAATCCGTGAATGCCATTGGTCGCACGTTCAACCCCAAATACGAAATGAATGCATGTTTGCCCAGTGTGTAGTGAGAATCACACTTGTAAATGTGTTTAATTATGGAGGTGAGACTTTTCCGAGCATAATGACTCACTTCTTTCAGCCTTCTACATGCGTTAATGTCTTGTATTCTTGCACAGCGAACTTAGGCATATTTCTACAAGTAAAACTGAACCCTCTTTGGTTTTAGATCTTTGACGAAAATGTTGATTTTTCGCATGAACAAAACCTGATTAGGGTTGTTTGAAGCCATTCCAAATTGAGAATGTACCTAAGACATCGCGATTTCCATTTGAAAACGTAAGCAATTATGCAAGAACAGTACATGCCATGGTTACTTCATGGTAACCATGGCAGCACGACCGAGACCTTGCTTCGGAACCTTGCCCAATAACACGGTTTGTCAAGGGAGGAACCATCCGCGAATCGGCAGAGGGCGTTTCTCCGTCATGAGTGGGCCTTAAGTACGAGGACGGTGAGCGTGAGTGGAGAGACTCTCCTTAATCATGAATAAATGAAAACATCGGCTGTGCCACTTCTAGAACGTCCGATCGTTCCTGATAAACTGATATTTGCGACCGATAAGCACCCAAAAATGAAATATTAATTCCAGGCTTGGGTCTTTACACTTCGCTGACGAGGCGAAAAATGCAATGATGTTTATCAATATCTTCCACCAAGCAAATGATACACAGTATATAGGCATATTGATCGTAATCGCAACCCTAGTCGTGTTATACGATGCCCTTTGGCTGCACAGATCCAGCCGTATTTCTCACATCCAGTCAGATGTTCTTCCTGTAATATTTACAAACAGGCTATAGGAAAATAAATATCCATGATGCGATTAGGGCGAACAGGAAGTCAATTGAGTCTTAGTAACATCATGGGAAAGATGACATCTCGCTTAATACCATGCCAACAAACTGTTATACTACATGTCGAAACTGCGTGAAGTCTAGCCCTTGTTGCTTTAGCTAACAAACCCTAAAAATTCCCCATGTAACTAGAGATGACAGGACATCTTCCCCCCCCCCCCCCAGCCCTCATCCTTCTTCCTTCTTGAAAGTCTTAAGCGTTCTTGGGAATCCTTAATCCATCCCATCTGGGAGATTCCACACATTTCGAGAGCTAATTTCTTCCCTTTCCGTAAAAGAAGTTCAAGAGGTTGCCACCAACGTTTTGCTTTGGAAATGAACCTCAAAACGCACAACAAATGATCCTGGATACATTAGAAAGACTGTATAAGCAAAATGATAGCATTTAGATTTGCATGGGGTGATTTTGATTAATTTCATCCCAATTTGCTGGAATGAATCACATTCATCTTAATGCAACATGATAAAAATCAGGAAATTTATTTGCACCATTCCATCTTATGTCTTTCTAGCGTATTATCCCCCTTGAAATACAATTAGAATATATTGGAACCTCAAGGGAAAAAGGTCACATCTGGGTCGGGGTGCGTATTCATAAAGTAGAATGTGTGTACCACGTTTAGCTGTCGAAGTAGAACCGAACTGTCTTCCATGTTTCAGAGTGGCGGAGGTAAGAGCTTCACAGACGATAAGATTGCAGAAAATTCTTATTTGTACTTTCTATCAAGTCTGAGCGAAGAGGATAAGGTGAACCTCATGCAAGATGAAGATGAGTTCATCCGCAGCTGCACCTACGAGGGCGTCGATTGTCAAAGGTCGAATCACTGATCATTTCGTGGTTACTTTAGAAAATATTGATTGACTCACGATTAAATCCTTTTCGCTTTGCAGCTTATTTTTCCCGTACGCGAACTCGACGTATGGGACTTGCTACGTCTTCAACCTGAAGTTGAACCAGGACAATGATACAGAGGCCGGATCCAGGAAAACAGTGTTCCCTGGTCCGAATAATGGTCCGTTCCTTAGAACTCAGACATATGTATCCGTAACTTGAAAACAAATATATCCATAGGGTGGTTTAAAAAAAATCGCTCTACCGTTTTTTATGGGAGAAATACAGTTTCATGAATGCAGCAAAAATTGTATCGGATACGCGATCGATATTTCACAGTTACAAGGTGTTGAAATGCTTCCCAGCTCTTCTTCAGCACTCCTACCTAAGCGCAATGCCTATTTAGAGGTGAATAAAAGGTGCTCAGGGTCATTTCACCTCAAGTGAGGTGAACCTGTGCTTGACCATCTCAGAATTCAATCAAATTATCAACTTAAACTTTTCAAGGGACAGTTGGATTCAACTGATACTTGATAGAGAGGTTCGTGAATCTAAGAGGTTTTTTCATTGCCACAAGATGGCGCTGTATCTCGATAGAGGGCGCTGTTGTTGACCGGGTGACCGAGGGTGATTAATAAAAGGTGGAATGCTCCACCTTTAAGTAGTGTAACGGGACAGTACATGGCTCAGAGAATTGTTTAGATAAAAATAGGAAGACAATCTCCTCAACATCTCCCATATATTCAATATGAAGGCTTTATGAATCTTATATTGTTTACTCGAATACACGAATCGAACTTTCTCCCCTTTGAAAACGGTGGAGCTCTTTTTATCACCCTCGGTCACCTGGTCGACAACAGCTCCCTCTATCGGGATACAGCTCGCTTATGCACTGGATTATACTGGTCAGTTTACTTTCACGAGGAAAAGGTAAATGCACTGGCGAAACGGCATGAGTGTTAAGCATCCCGGTGATTGAGTTACTCTTTTAGGGGGAAAACATGGCATAAGGCTATTTGTTCAAATGGTAACGGGCGCTCTCGCGTTCCGTTCAACGCGTCTACCCCTATTTTGAATCTGCTCGCACACGCCACCCCATTCTAGCGTAGCCTACAACCCACACTTTTTGAACAATAAAATTACTTTCTATTTTCTTATCTTTCTCGCTGTTAAGATTTGCAGAAATGCCTTTTACTCATCTTGAGCTTCCGATTGATATATCACATGTACCATTCGATGGGTGGTCATTTCATCGCGCTGGCACGGTTAGTAGACCACGATTTATTTCCTCCAGTTCAATCAAAGGCCAAAGAATCAGAAAGTCAACCTGTTTTGTGACATGATGGGTCATTTGAGAAAGGAAAGAGTCACGGACTTCGGCCACGATTATTTTATAATCCAACTGCTCCATCACTTCGCCCCCCCCCCCGGCGATTATGCTGATTATCGCGCTCGTTCGGCCAAACATAAAATGAATGCAGTTCCCTTGATCTGCCTTCTTACTGTTTTCTCTGAGGTTGGTTAGTTAGGGTATAGAGCAAAAGCTGAAAAGCACTGCGTGAGAATGTTTGAGGGTTGAATTTTTCTTTACGTCAAGAATACGTCATGAGGACTGAAGGTAGGGGAGGATATCAGGAGAGGGCGAAAGAGATCCAGAGGTTTGCCGGGATTTGAACCCAAATCTCCTGCTTGCCGGTCAGGTGCGCTACCACTACACCAACGAACTCAGGACATATATTGATAGTTATTCTTCCCATCACCACACAAGGTTTTATGTTCCAACGAAAACGGGCACTCGTGCACTCCGTTCAAGGTGGTACACAATAAAATTACTACTTCTTTTCTCATCTTTCGCATATAAAATTTACACCAAGACAATATCCGCATCAAGACCTTACGATTGATACATCACATGGACCAATCGACATTTGGTCCACTTCGGATGTCTTTCCATCATGGAATAATTTTATTTAGCGGTAAGAGAGATTCAATTAGAAATCAGATGTAAAGGGCGTAGTTTAGATGCAATAGACTGCGTTATCTGATCGAAGATAGAGCAAAAAAGAAGTAGCGTCGGGAAAATATGTTTTTCATTTAAAATTTAATATTCACATCTACTGTAAGTGCCAGGATCTGTGGTCTCCACAACCCTATGGACGTTTAGCTTCGAATTTGTTGGAGCAATTCTATACTGTGAGGGAACGAAACGTGCCCAATATCGCTGCTCGGTATGCTCTCTGGGGAGGCGCAAAGGAATAGGAAGAGGTTAAATCTTGGAACGGGAAGGGGTTGAAGAAAGGGAAAGAGGCGCCTCAGCGCCTATAGATTTGGAGCGAAGTTTTATATCTCTCCGCGCAAAGCCTGAATCATGCATGCGTTTTTGCTGTAGATCTATCAATTTTTGCAGAGGGAGGGGACTAAATTACATCAGAGTAGAAGTCTCGGTTGATTTATGCATACCGATCGACAGGACTGGAGCTGGAGTTATACCTGGACGCGAGTCAGTGGCCATCGAGCGTGATGTCATCGCAGGGCGGCGTCCGGGTTGTTATCCATCGATCCGACAGCCTCCCTTCTCCTGAGGAATCCGGATTCGATGCACGGACTGGCACGGCCACCAATATTGCCCTTAGACAGGTCGAAGTACATGCTTGTTTATATATGAGTCAAGGAGACGATTCGGTGCACTGCAAAATGAAGGCAGGAAGTATGATAATCAGAGCTAATGGAAGCAGCATTATATACATAAGTATATATGAAAGAGGATAACAGCAACAGATGTCATTGTTAGTGTAAAATTTATTAGAATGGAAACTGGAACGGTCAATTAAAAACATTAAAATACAGATATATTCTCTTTCATTTGATCCATGTTTGTATTTGAGGAATATTTTTTAAAATGATTACTAGTCTAGATTCCTCACATTACTAGGAAGCATCCACAAGGTCTATTTCATGCATTGGAGCAGATGGAAGTGTCGAGGCTGCCCTATCCCTACGAAAACGACTGCTACGATTCGTGGGACAAGACCGGTTACTCTCCGAGTGATCCAAAACTCATCGCCTATGACTCCCTGGTCAGTATTTTTGCGGGTCAGAAGCCCTTGATGTTTGTTGCACGATCGAGGATTCGATCACATTTCCCAACGAGTAATCAATTTCCCACGTTGTAATGATTCTTTCACATCGCTTCACAACTCTGAATGAGAACTGCGAGGAAACGTTGCTATTAATGTTATCACTTCCAGTAACGCATGCTTCAAAACCTTTTACTAGGGGGGATACATACCACAAAGATGTATCAAGAACATTTTAACATTAATTCCTCTAACTTCAGTTTTCCTAAATGGAAGTATTTTTTTTAAACCGTGTGTGTTCGCATTATGTTCATGCACCAATTTCTCATAAAACTCTGTTGCTAATCCTTGTACTAATTCGCACTGAAAAGATGATAACGATGCGACAACTACTGTATACAGCTTATCAAAGGATTCTCATAGTTTCGAGTAACCAATTATACTTACAAGCCTCTTTTAGCGCATTTTTCCATTTATTGGGAATGGGAAGCATTCATCATAGAGCTCTCGTAAGGGGGTGAACAGGATGCAATGGGTTGGATTAGTGTGGAAGCACCTCCAGAATTAATGGAATTAGACGACGAGTCTAACGGTGGATGTGGATGTAGATGTGCAGGCGGATGTGCCTGCAGGCAACGATGCTGAACATTTGCCATTGCACACTCCCCTGGATACAAGACTACTTCACGTTCTCGAACGGGACGCTCAACGGGACCAGAGCTTGCAACACTGAAAGCTACGGTCAGCCTCTTCCTGTGTTTTAGTCCTATCACTTGCCCCACTTCAGTACACGCCTTTAAGCCCGAGTTCATTCACGTTCTCGAACGGGACGCTCAACGGGACCAGAGCTTGCAACACTGAAAGCTACGGTCAGCCTCTTCCTGTGTTTTAGTCCTATCACTTGCCCCACTTCAGTACACGCCTTTAAGCCCGAGTTCATGAATCCGCACGTAGAAACATAAAGAGAAACACCTTTTCAATTGAGACCCGCTCGCCTTCCCGATCTGTAGTACCCCTTCACACTCTCTCGCATCAATGTCCATCTACAATTGCCAAATCAAATGCACTTAGCATTCTTACAATTTCAGACATATCACTTCCCTTTTGAATATATCCCACAGGAATCCTATGGGGTTTTCTGAACCTGAAATCTACTTATACTAGAGGCCTGCGGGTCGCTACTCTGGCAGTCAAATGAGCGGAAATGAGGAAATACTTACATTATGATATAACGCAGTTGGGCTCAAACCAAGCATGTAATATCTTCCAACAAGCCTCGAAAAGTTCGAACGTGTTGCCACCCAGTTAATTTTATTATCATCGATACCACTCCTCAAAAATAAATAAGAAGATTAGATGACAGCATATGGCCTAGATTGGCAGAGCCTTGTAGCATTAGACCTTGGATGACCTTGCCTCTGGTCTAGAATGGCATTTGTCGTTAGTGGGCGTCAAAATTGGAGAAAGTCTACCATTTATTCCTGTATGTGTCGGAATTCTAGTTGACGTTTTCTCGCTTGAATTTATTCTTCAATTGTCGAAGAGTTTCCGTTACATTCTAGCCGAATTCGGAGTAAAGCCGAACAATTGTTACACGATTACCGATAGCCAAACGTTCCTCGGTCACTTTCCTCTAACTCCTTTCGATTGGAATCGATCACATTGGAGACACAATTCATCAATCACATGACAGACAACGTGACTCAGCGCTGCAGGCGTGTTTTCAAATGTGACAGCCTTTGAATGACCCCCAAAATAGGAAATCAAATTCCGTCTCGGGAATAAAGATTCCATCGACAAAAGTCAGCCACTTTTTACTTGATAGAGCATTATCTTTTCTTACGAATGGTGTAAAACAGGTCTCAATCAAATATACCATTAAAAAGAAAAAAAGGTGCCAGGACTCTTCATACTCTGTAATGATTGCCATCTACATAGTGAGTTATTTAAAAGTAGATTAAAAGTATACCAACGTTTTTATAGCCTAGCCCAGAATGGCAGAGCCTTGTAGGACTGACGCTATAGGCCGTAGATGGCCTGGCCTACGGCCTCGTATGGCATAGTATCGTAGGCCTCGCGCATTAGAAGTGACAGCCACCCCAACTTTCGGTCTCTCTCTAATTAACCCTTCAAGTGCTGAGTTTTAGCTCGACCTTCTAAGTGTTGAACGTACGTTGTACATGAAAACGGCTTGGAGGGTTAAATATTACATTAGATTAGATGCTTCATTTTGGATTCCTATGGGGCTGTTTCACATTTGATCAAGGTGGCATTTCAAGACGGCATGTGACATGTTTTGCTGATTCCTGCCATGCACTACAAAAGTCTGCCTCATCTGATCGCTCCATGTTTTCAAACGTTGCGCATTTTTCCCTCGCTATTGCTGCAGATTCTGTTGGCAGCCAATGCATCAATAACGTGTATGAAGGGGTGAAGAACGGGAGCATCACGTGTCCCTGCAACGCAGAATGCCAGTGAGTCCGGTGTTTTGTGCCGCAGTCTTGCTCCATTCCTCAGATTCGTAGCTCAGAAATGAATCCTACAAACCCATTCACCCTCTCTAAAAAATGAATATATTCGCCGAAGTTGGTTTGTTGGGGCCTGTGTCTATGCGTCCGCCGGTAGCCCGCACTGATCTGTTTTCCCGAAAAAAGGCACAATTGATCCGATTCGAATCGTTGGCCGCACCCAACTCGACACTCGATGGCGACCGAGACTCCAGACCTGCGAAATCTGGCTGATCGCGCCGGCCGATCCAAAGCGATGCGGTGTGTCTCATTCGAATATTGTTGGAAATTGATTAGCCTCGAGGAGGGGGACCTACATATTTCAAGGAAAACAGCTTAATGATAATTAAAATTTAATGTCAAACTTTTCTTGCAACACACTACTGCTGTGTTCACTACTCCACATGTTTAATATATTACATATAAACTGGTACTTTAGAGGTTTATCAGTAAAGTTCACATAATTTCAAAAGTATATATTGAAACATGTTAAACTTGAAAGAAACGTTTCATAGAACACATGTCTCAGAGCCCTGCTTTCGTAATGAGCCCCTCCCATCCATTAAGCATTGAAACATTATGCGTAGAATCTGAGGTGTGCTGAAAGCTACATCTAAGCGACTGAAAAAATTTCAGACACATAATTTTGCTTTAATGAAAGCTTCACATCCCCCCTCCGCCCACCACAAAAAAATCATGTTATATTTATTTATTGAAAATGTGTGGTCATTCAATTATAAAGAAGGATAATTGAATAACCACCCACCTTCGTCGCCTTTCTTGCAGGATTCCCATAGCCATAGCGAAACGAATTCCTTTCTCTCTCCTTCATAGACAAACGGAATACCTAACGACGATATCTTCGTCGGAATGGCCAACCGGGTCTTACATGGTGAGTTCGATCATGAAGAATCGGGAGTTTCTCAGAGTTCCTGCCTCGAGTGGATTTAACCGCCTTTTCCAACTCTTCAGTCGAGCGCGATGGGATCGATGGACTTGGGGACTCAGTTGCAAACTCATGGGAACGATACGATGAAGATGGAGGTGGTAAAAGTCATCATCTACTTTTCCTCGATCGCCCAGGAAACAATCGCGGAATCTCCCAGCGTGACGGTAAGTCTCATCGCCGCGATGTTTTTATTGGAGANACTCAGTTGCAAACTCATGGGAACGATACGATGAAGATGGAGGTGGTAAAAGTCATCATCTACTTTTCCTCGATCGCCCAGGAAACAATCGCGGAATCTCCCAGCGTGACGGTAAGTCTCATCGCCGCGATGTTTTTATTGGAGACGAGATGAGCCGTCGAGATCCCATCAACTCGGATGCTTTCAGGACACGAACCTGTTGAGCAACTTGGGAGGAGCCCTGAGCCTGTACTTGGGGATCTCCCTCGTCATGCTGCTGGAAGTCATCGAGATCTTTCCCCTGATGGTCCTCGCATTCATCGGCAGATGCTTCGGAATCGGTCCGAAGCCGATGGAGAATCCGCCGCATAAGAGACGGGTAACCCGTCGCTGCGCCCGCGCGGGATGCCCATCCCCCCTCGCATGGGACGAGAAGCACTTTTGACGTTCCCAAAAATTCCTTGAGTGAATCGTCGACGTTCCATGCCACCTGATTCCCTTTACTCCGCATACGTATATGCGATCCGCTCGCGTGGATCTTTTTCGTGGAGAAATATCTTGCACGATCTTGACGTTGGCAAGGGACCTGAATATTACATGGGTGATTTTATAGTGGGATTTCACCCGCACTTGACGGATTGGAGTCGACTTTAATTGGCATCGCTTTCGCAATACTTATATCCTTTGTCGTCATTTTCTAGCAGGCACTTGCAAAATCACTATATATGAATCTGCACACTTCGATGCACTTGATGCAAGAAAATCAGGCAAATTTAAGTAGTAATTTTGCAAAAGGTTTCATGATAACCCTTGTATATTTACGAACTTACCAGGTTTCATGTATGTTCTGTATATTCCCGTTGAACCTCTTATACAGGTCATCGACGTGTAAATTGTATATACTCGATGCTTCTGTGGTATCCTAAATACATTTTGAAGTTCTTACTTGTTCGCAGGCGATTCCTAGTCTCCTTTCCTTGCTTTTTCTCACACAAATTTTTACTTGTGATGAGCAAATGTTTTTAGCGACTAGTTTCGTTCTTCGTTTCGGTCTTAATTTCGAGTCAATAATGCGTCTGAAACGCCTGCCACATCCTTCATTATTTACTTATTCTCTCTTCACGTTATTCTTGTTACCATCATTCGTGTTTTCGCAACAGGCGGATTACAGTTGGTCAATACCTGGTTAACACAAAAGGGGAAACGGTAAAACTGCTGACCAGTCCAGTTTCCCGTCCGTTTTAGAATCTTTAGTAACGGACAAGAATATTCCCATTTAAGAGCGGACAATTGCGCGAGGGAAGATTGGCCACAGCACCCAATTTTGGCAGAACGATGCTCCTTCCAGCACTGCAACAGTTGAATCCAGAAACTCCTTCAGACTCTCAAGAAAATTACCCTGAAGTGTCCAATAAATAAGTTGTTTCCGCGAGTTTCCACGGGGATGGGCAGCCTTCGGCACTCGCTTGTACTTCAGGTCTGCCTCGATTTTCTTATGTAAATTACAACGAAGGAAGGGAATTATGCATTTCTTTCAGCTTCCATCACGTGCATTTTAATTTCGAATCCTTTTATTCAATGTTTGACCGATATATTTCGAAAAAAATCTATGCATATTTTTTTCGGTGGGATCGTACAGGCCCATTCCTGAACGCGAACGTTGCTGTTGGACGAGGAAGAATTTGCACAGAATTACAGTGAGTTGTGAACTGAGAAATGCTTTCATTCAGATGCATTTCTTTCATGGGACTCGAAGATGTGAAGGTTTCATTTTCATACCTTGATCCTGGAAGTGGAAGAGGACAGCGATGTATGAGAAGACGAGGCTCATCGCCTAACCATGAAAAAGAAGGAAAAATTAATCACCCTGGATTTAATTGCATTTGAAACTCGCATTTGGAACTCGCATTTGGAACTCGCATTTGGAACTCGCATTTGGAACTCGCATTTGGAACTTGCATTTGGAACTCGCATTTGGAACTCGCATTTGGAACTCGCATTTGGAACTCGCATTTGGAACTCGCATTTGGAACTCGCATTTGGAACTCGCATTTGGAACTCGCATTTGGAACTTGCGCTGCTGAGATGTGTTTAATCCAATGAGGAAGCCTCAAAGGAATGAAACCTGTTGTTGATGCAGAGTCGCGTATGAGACCTGTTACCTCAAAATATACGCTTGCTGTCAATAAACGGGGAAGGTCAAGGTCAAGATCTAGGGCAGGGGTTCTTCACCTTTTTGCACCTATGTACCCCCCAGATCCTCAAGTATTACTCATGGATCCACACCCCCAGTTATCAGAAACTTTGAAACACCTGCATTTGTGATTATAAATGATGCTTTTCTGGAGCTACCTTCAATAATATATTTCATTTTCCATGGACCCTCCATGGACCCCCTGGACCTACCTCATGAACCCCCTTGGGGTCCATGGACCCCTGATCTAGGGTATAGGTGAAGCACCAGAAGATTATCACTACTTTTTGTTCAATTTCCGTATCGAAAATACCGGCCACGCCCTGGTGCAATTAGAAGGATGAATAGTACTATTGTTTTCTAATCAACGCATAACATGAATTGTTGAATCTATGTAATAACACTAGTGCACGGGCTGAAAAAAGTCGCATCAGGACATTTCGTGGATGACTTTCCACTCTTTCTTCGCCAGTTAAAGAATTCCTGGAAATATCCCGCGAAGCAGCGTCTTGCGAACGTGGCCATGTCCGCATATCCACCGACTGTGGCTCCTTAATTTAGATTTAGATTTAAGTTTAGCAGAGGCGAGGAACTGGCCCCTGGAGTTCTCAAGCTATGAGGCCAAAGCAGGCTGCGTGCCGGCCACGTCAGGACAACACGATCGATCGACAACACGATCGATCGACAACACGACTCGGAGCAGCAAAGCTCGCTCGACAATCCCGTCCCGGGTCGGGTGCAGGCCACGTTTCCGATCGGGGCGATCGATTTTCAACTCGAAAAGTGAGCCTGTGTAGGCCTCTTACGCGCAGAAAAACAGGGGAATCCTAGAAGCCACATTCGCAGCGTACTTTTTGGACTTTTGACTCAATAAGTATCGCCTCCGATGATCGTGGCCTTCTCACAAGTAAATGTACCGAATATTGTTGAAGAATGAAAAACAGTAACATGGGAACGCTCCACTTTTTTCAGACCATGGATTTATTATATTGCATTACTTATGATATGTATGCCGCTTAAGTCCGATACAATTTTAAATTCCAATATTAACCAAACCGATCGCAGCCGTCGTGGAGAGTCCATCCACGGATCCAATCTCTTTTTGCAAAATGCAATGGAATGCTCATTCAAAACGTTGATTCGGATTCGACAGTCGTCTTACCTATAAAGTCCATGAAGGTGTGCAAGGGACCCTTACGTAAGACTCCTCGAGCACGGTGAATGTTAAAACATTGTGTCCTGCCTGAAAAAAGTTGAGTGAATTGATGCACGATCAAAATAACAAAAAGGAAATCCACGTCACATAATTTTCCTTCTACGTAGTATCGCGCCGCAGAGGGAATTCCTTCTCGGTGTGCATGTCGAACAAATTCTTACTCAGACATTGGAATTTGACCTGTGCTCAAAGTACGAATGATATGAAAACGTGAGACATGCATTTTTCAAAGCCGGAGGACCGGATGTTAAACACATAGCGATCCTCACAGCTAGCTAACAAATGTGACTTTGCGTGTGTGTGACGGCTCTACGGGCCAAACGCGTAGAGATATGAATTTGAGATCGTTTCGGTCTTAATTTCGAGTCAATAATGCGTCTGAAACGCCTGCCACATCCTTCATTATTTACTTATTCTCTCTTCACGTTATTCTTGTTACCATCATTCGTGTTTTCGCAACAGGCGGATTACTATTGGTCAATACCTGGTTAACACAAAAGGGGAAACGGTAAAACTGCTGAGCAGTCCAGTTTCCCGTCCGTTTTAGAATCTTTAGTAACGGACAAGAATATTCCCATTTAAGAGCGGACAATTGCGCGAGGGAAGATTGGCCATAGCACCCAATTTTGGCAGAACGATGCTCCTTCCAGCACTGCAACGGTTGAATCCAGAAACTCCTTCAGACTCTCAAGAAAATTACCTTGAAGTGTTCAATAAATAAGTTGTTTCCGCGAGTTTCCACGGGGATGGGCAGCCTTCGGCACTCGCTTGTACTTCTGGTCTGCCTCGATTTTCTTGGGTAAATTACAACGAAGGAAGGGAATTATGCATTTCTTTCAGTTTCCATCACGTGCATTTTAATTTCGAAACCTTTTATTGAATATTTGACCGATATATTCCGAAAAAAATCCATGCATATTTTTTTCGGTGGGATCGTACAGGCCCATTCCTGAACGCGAACGTAGCTGTTGGACGAGGAAGAATTTGCACAGAATCACAGTGAGTTGTGAACTGAGAAATGCACTTTCATTCAGATGAATTTCTTTCATTGGACTCGAAGATGTGAAGGTTTCATTTTCATACCTTGATCCTGGAAGTGGAAGAGGACAGCGATGTATGAGAAGACGAGGCTCATCGCCTAACCATGAATAAGAAGGAAAAATTAATCACCATGAATTTAATTGCATTTGGAACTCGCTTTTGGAACTCGCTTTTGGAACTCGCATTTGGAACTGGCAATTGGAACTCGCATTTGGAACTCACGCTGCTGAGATGTGTTTAATCCAATAAGGAAACCTCAAAGGAATGAAACCAGTTGTCGATGCAGAGTCGCATATGAGACCTATTACCTCAAAATATACGCTTGCTGTAAATAAACGGGGAAGGTCAAGGTCAAGATCTAGGGCAGGGGTTCTTCACCTTTTTGCACCTATGTACCCCACAGATCCTCAAGTATTACTCATGGACCCACACCCCCAGTTATCAGAAACTTTGAAACACCTGCATTTGTGATTATAAATTATGCTTTTCTGGAGCTACCTTCAATAATATATTTCATTTTCCATGGACCCTCCATGGACCCCCTGGACCTACCTCATGGACCCCCTGGGAGTCCATGGACCCCTGATCTAGGGTATAGGTGAAGCACCAGAAGATTATCACAACTTTTTGTTCAATTTCCGTATCGAAAATACCGGCAACTCCCTGGTGCAATTAGAAGGATGAATAGTACTATTGCAGTTTTCTAATTGCAACGTATAACATGAATTATTGAATCTATGTAATAACACTAGTGTAAAAGCCCGTGCGCGCACGGGCTGAAATAAGTCACATCAGAACATTTCGTGGATGACTTTCCACTTTTTCTTCGCCAGTTTCAGTGTTCCAGGAAATATCCCGCGAAGCAGCGTTTTGCGAACGTCGCCATGCACGCATATCCACCGACTGTGACTCCAGAATTTAGTATTCAGATTTAAGTTTAGCAGAGGCGAGGAACCGACCTCTGGAGTTCTCAAGCTATGAGGCCTAATCAGGC